CACACACACACAAACACACACACACACACACACACACACACACACACACACGTGAGCTCATCGGGGTTTCTTGCTGCTCATAGGAGTTCATATACGAACCAGAAAAAAATTCCCTAAATTTCCGCAGAAATTTTCATGTTGTCACCAACACATGCAATTTTTACCACACAGACGTTAAAAAAAATCGAAAATTTTCCAAAAAATCGATAATTACAATTTTTTTCTGTAAAACTCATAGGAAAAAATCACTGAGCAAAACTTGAATCATCTCATAAACCGAAATTTCCGAAATTTTACTTTTTTCCAAATATTCTGATAATTAACCCCAATGAAAATCATAAAACAAATACCCAACTACAAAATCTAATCCGCCACTTCAAAAAAAATCAGAAAAAAATCAACAAAAGAAAAGAAAAAGTTCACTACTTCACACATTCTGAGTCAGAATTTCATCAAAAAGTAAAAGACGATAGGACGCATTCGGACCTAATCTGAATCCTACCCGCTCAACCTAAAGATTCCCTCACTACCTGTACCATAAACCCCGGAATCAAACGATGAAATTTCGTATCATCATAGTAGCCCGAAGCCGCTAAAGCCAAGAAATTCTTACAGGCATTCGGCACCTGAAAAATAAATCACTAAAAATTTTTCCTCAATTTTTTTTACGAAACTTCTTTCTACTATAAGAAGCTTCGAAATTTTCCCAATTTCATTTCCCGATTTCTCCAAAGAAATCTCCTTTTTTTACAAAATTTCCGAATTTTCCCTCAATTTTTTTTACAAAAATCCTTGCTACTATAAGAAGCTTTGAAATTTTCCCATTTTATTTCCCGATTTCCCCCAAAAAATCCATTTTTTTGTGAAAATTTTCCAAACATGTGCCCGGAAATCTATTCCAAGGAGCGTGATCGTGAAAATTCCTATCAAAAATTTTTTCCTCAAATTTTTCCCAAAAATCCTTAAAAAAATTTCCTAATTTCCTCTTCAAAATCCGATCAATCAAAAAGGAGTGGTATTAACTCATACTACCAATAAAATAATGTGTTGGTGAAAATATGGAAATTTTATGAGAAATTTTTCGGAAATTTTCGTTGGTTTCATAATGTAGTGAGCAAACCTACGAGCTCAGTTGAGAAAAGCCAACATTTTTTCCCATACTGCCAACCTCATTCTACCAGTTTTAACATTTTCTCAGATTAACCGTTATTTTTTGTGAAAAAAGTGAAAATTTTCCCACCCCGATCGTTTGAGCACAAAGTGGTATCAATCACATGTGTTGATGAAAATCTGAAAATTGTGCATGATTTTCGTATACTTCATGCGTGAATTTTCACAAGTGTTTGAGGAAA